TGTGTGTGTGTGTGTGTGTGTGTGTGTGTGTGTGTGTGTGTGTCCACTGCTCTGTTGAGAGCTAAGCCAAGTGAAGGACCAAGGAACAGCAGGTACCAAAGCTCAGGACCCCTTCAGCAGAGGGCACATAAGGGGCTGATGAAGAATCCTGTGTTTTCTTCGCAGCTGGACAAGAAAGACCCTTCTGAAGACAAGGAGGACATTGAGGGTAACCTGCTTAGGCCCACCGGCGTGGCCCTTCGTGGAGCCCACTTCTGCCTGAAGCTCTTCCGGGCTGAGGACCTACCACAAAGTGAGTGTGGCGCCCCCTTCTGGAGGCCTGCCCGAGGCTCCCGCCCGGCTCTTTAAAGCACAGGCCACCAGGCACTCCCTTGGGAAAAGCAGCAGCCCGGGTCCCTGGCTTCTGCTCGGCTAGGTCTGTGAGCGTTGCTGGGGGCACTGCCTTCTGCTGTCTGGCTGACGTGGCTTTATTTTACACCCCGCCCCTAGCCCCGTCCCGCCCCCAAATCAGAGAGTTTTTTCTTCTAGTGGTGTTAGGCTTGAGCCCAGAGCCCCATGCCTGCACTCCACAATGAGCAGCAGAGCCAACATTTTAGAGAAAAACAACACGTGTAGGTGGACTTGGGCAGATGGAGGAGCCTTGAGAGCAGTAACTGTCCCATGAAATCCACTCCAGCTTTCCCGAGCCTGGTCTGCTGGTCATGCGGAAAGGGGAAATCAGTTAGACTGCACGCTGGGTCTCTTTTATTGTCCATTTAAAGCAGCACTGGCTTCTGAGAGGGCCTGCTGGTGGGTCACTGTGGCCATGGCTTTAAGGGAATGCCGACAGGCACCCAGAGTACTTCTACCCTTACTGCTTTTAATGGCGTGGGGTTTGAACCATCCCTCAGCCAGTCACCAGTGGACAGGCTCTGAAGCTCTGGGTGTGAGGCGCGGTGACTCCTGAGCTGCGCTCGGACTCCCTTCTCATGGGGAGGCTGGGTCCCACATGAGGGGCCACAGCAGGCCACTTCTGTAGTCCTGATACTGCCTGGAGACACAGGGATGGTAGGACATGGAGGGCGGGGGAGGTTGACAGTAGAGGGTGTACCGTGGGACAGTAGGGTCTGGAGGGGTCCGCAGAAGGCCAGACATGGCTGTGACGTAGGGCAGAGGCAGGCAGTGACCAGCGTACCATGGGGTGGTCAGGCGTAGAGGGGACATTGGCAAGCAGTGACAGGCACGTGTCTTCCCCAGTGGACGACGCTGTGATGGACAATGTCAAGCAGATCTTTGGCTTCGACAGCAACAAGAAGAACTTGGTGGACCCCTTTGTGGAAGTCAGCTTCGCTGGGAAAATGGTGAGGAGCGGGCGTCAGGGTGGCTGTGGGAGGGAGAGGCCATGGGGTGGAGGGTCCAGACAGAGCAGGGCGCGCCTGGCAAAGGTGCACATAGAGGAGCTCTGGGAGCAGCATACACAGGTGGGCTTCTGGGCTGCTACCCCTGAACATGGGCAGGTATATCCAGAGGTCCTGGCTTCGCAAAGAGGAGGGGTGGGCAGCGGGCAGGGGAAGAGTGTGTGGGAGTATTAAGCAACAGTGTGGGGCAGGAGGTGACATGCACAAAGACAGAACGGAAAATTTATACTCATTTATTTATGTGTATGTGACATGTGGAGGTCCCAAGGATAACTTATGAGAGCTGGTTCGCTCCTTCTTTCCCAGGAATTGAAATCAGGTTGTCAGGATTGGTGCCAAGCACTTTTATCTGCTGAGCCATCCTGCTGGTCCATAACAAAAAAATACCATTGTGTGCATAATGTGTGTTTATGAGGGCAGGCATGCCATAGTGTGTGTGTGTGTGTGTGTGTGTGTGTGTTCAGTGGACATCTTTGTGGAGTTGGCTGTGTTCTTCTACTATGGGTTCTGAGGACTGAGCAAAGTTTCCCAGGCTATTCAGTCAAGTATCTTTATGCTCTGGGTCATCTTGTTGGCCCCCAACTTTTTACACAAACACACACACACGCACGCACGCACACACACATGTTTGAAACTTTAAAGGAATACATGGACTGTTTGTTTTTCTGAGTGAGTCTGGCTTTTTTCACCTAAGAGTGCTGCCCAGATGCGCGTCCCTTTGAATGTCATAATTTCATTTTTCTTTAAAGCTGCATAGAACCCCAATATATATGTACCACATTCTTTTTTCTATTCATCTATTAAGACAGAGAAACTCTTTCTTTCAATGTGTGAGGAAGCATAATAATTATTTTTACGTAGTTGTGACAGAAGGCAGACACACAGTCATCTGATTGTCACCCAAGGGGGTCACCTGTTCTTCCCTTCTTTGTAGCTCACTCTCTTGCCCAGGGTAGGGAAGTGGTACCTGTCCCTGTTGATTTTCATCCCACACCCCACAGCCCCAGGCTTTATTTTTTATTTATTTATTTTTTTATGTGTCACACGTTCTCTCCTGTAGTCATAGTCACACCCAGGCTTCAACTGTAGCTGCAAGGGACTCCACACAGCTCTCTTTGGCTCTGATTCTCCTCTTCCCCATCAGACTTCCTCATGCCTCTGACCTTTTGAGCAGCTTTCTCCCCAGGTGCCTTCCTCATAGGAGCCTGCATCTTAAGGATGCCATCACCCAAGGCTGAGTGTGTGGGCATGTCTCTAATCCCCCTTTGTCAGGAGTCATTCTGTTAAAGAAGCTCACTAAGCAGGGGGGTCGTCTGGAAGGGGACCCAGTATTTTGCAAGGTCTGTGCCACGATACACGGCAGAATTACTTCCAGTCTCTGACACTCATTCTCTGTGCACTGCTGTGTCCCTCTGTACTCTGGCATGGTGTGATTCATCACTTTCTTGGTATTTACACACTGATTGAACACACTTCCTATGGGATCTTAATGAAGATGTACTGCTGTTCAGATGAATTAATTCCTGATTTGATTCAAACAATTTTTAAAGTTAAAATTTAAAAGTTCTAAAACAATATTGGGAAGTTTATGGCTGTAATAAATACCTTTGTGGGCCTCCAGATGCCTCACTAAGAGACAAGCTTGAGATAGATTTGTGTCTTCAAGATAAGTCTTCATTACGAATCCTGGTATACACCATAAATATAAGCAAGTTGGTTTAAACTTCCTATGAACCCACATTATAATGGGACCAAGCAATGTCAATAATTAAGTACAAATCTTGATGTCATTATATACGAACTGTTCTGTTTTAATTCCTTATAACTTGTCACCTCATGACATTATAAACTGTCATTTTAAATTTAGTTTGTTTCTTAGAATGAAAGACAGATAAAATTATTGTTCTGAACTCACTATAAACTTAGAGATAGCTGAAAAATGTGTAGCCAGGTCAGGCTTAGTTGAAAAGATATATACTCTTGAAACTTTTAGACCATGTTAACCTTTAGGCCTTGTCAACCTTTGTCACTCTGAACTCACTATGAACTTACGTAATGGATACATAGAAAAGAAATATTTAGTTTTAAAACATGTAACCTGTTGTATTTTAGAATTTATCTGTTTTTGTGATTAATTACCTTTTTGACTATGAGGTAATTCCTTTTCTGGGAGCTTTCTCTCAGAGGTATAAAGGCTATATAATACAATAAACAGTGGCAAAACACAAACAAACAAACAGCCACTCACACACACTGTTGGCAGAAGCCTAGTGGTGGAAGCCCACTGAATGAAAGCCGGCTGAATTTGCATCGTCCATGAGTTGTAAGTGTGTATAGGTACATGTTTACATGTAAGTATGCGCGTCTGTCTATTTTGCTCATGTGTTACATGGGTGTGTGTTAACTGACTATATGTGAGGAGCACCTTTGTATTGTGCACTGAATGTGTGCATGAATATGGACAGGTCTATTTGTCTGATTGTCTATGTGTGTGTATGGGCTGACACTATGGAACCGGAAGCCTAAACTTGCTGAGTTTCTGCAGAGGAGACGCTGGCAGAAATCAGCTGTGGGAATTCACTGAAGTTAAAGTTCTTACTTTCATTTACCCTTTCCCACGAGAGTGTGCGCATGAATGGTCTTTGCTTACTTTCTCCCCGTTTTTCTTACCTATTCACAAACAAGTGAACAGCGATTCAGGATCTAACTATCAGCCTAGAACAAGCAGGAAGAAGTTTACTTTAGTCTGTGGAGGCCTTCACAGTGGCCTGCCCCTGCGCAGGAGCTAACCTCAGATCCGAGAGCCCCTTTTTACAATCCCTTGCAGTTTTGGCTAGAGGGTGCCTTTCACAGTCCCCGCTGCAGTAAAAAAGGTGGCAAAGTTTTCCTCCTTAGTAGCAGTGTAGCCAGGCCTTAGCCCTAGAGAAGGAATCCTGGGCTCCCTCCCCTATTTCTTTTCCTTTCAATCATCTTTCATGATTGGCTGCTGATTGGTTACCTGAGATAAAGCTAACAGGTGAACTCCGAATCCTGTCCCAGATGCTACCCTGGAACTTGGAATCTTGCCAAAGCAGAGAGAAACTTTGGCAATCAGATCCTAGAAAACCCTAACACTTTTTCCTCTTTTACATCCAACATGGAAACCTGCTCTCACCCTCAAACATGCCCCAAGGACCAGCCCTTCCTAGCCAGTGTGTCTCCCCTAGCTGCAGCCGTTTTTTTGTTTTTTTTTTTCCTCAGGATTATACAGCAGCCTCTTCACTACCATTCTCCTTGGCATTTGTCCAAATTCTGGAGTCCAAATTCTGGTTGTTTTCTCTGGCATTTCCTTACTCCTGTGGGTCCTGTATGTCCTGGTGCTGAAGCAGCTACATTCAGAGAATTTTGCCAGGAGCTCTTCTCAGGCCAGGTACCTTACATTGTGTTGCAATGTAAGGTCCGTTCTCTACCTTCTGCTCTGATCCTTATGAAAGTAAATACCTCCCCCCCAATTGGCAACTACTTCTGGGGTGACATCTTGATTTCCTGAGGATGTTTAATGTCCCCGGACCTTCTGACCCAGTGCACCGAGTGTCCACTGACTTGTTCTTGAATAAGCCACTGCTTGGGGTTGCCCAGTGCCCATTTTCTTATTTCCTGCGCTCTGTTTTATTAAAAAAAAATTAATTTTTCAATGTGTGTGAATGAACGTGCACGTGTGTGTGTGTGTGTGTGTGTGTGTGTGTGTGTGTGTGTGTGTGTTGTTGCCTGCCCTACTCATCCACAGAGCCTGGAGGGAGAGGTTGATACAGAATCCCTTACTGGAGCTGGGGCTAGGCCGTCGGCGGCTGGACACAATGACCCTTCTGTTCTGCAGGGTTATAGGCGTTTGCAGGCGTGCCTACCCTTTTACATGGTGCTGGGGATTTGAACTCGGGTTTTTACAGCTGTTCAGAGAGCTGGATGATTGTCCGTTTATTTTTCTCTCTCTACCTACTTACACCTGGAGGCCGCTAGGACTTTGCCACTGTCTGCCCAGCCACGCTTGTAGCCTCTGCATCTTTGCTTAAGGACGCTTGGGGGCACTGTTACCCAAGATAAATCCAACCACGCAGTGGGCGGAGTCACCGAAGGGGCGTGGCTTAGCGTGAACGGTGCACGTGGGACAAGGAAAGGACAGGGACAGATGCTTTAGACCTTTTTCTGAATCCAAGAACTAACACATGTACTGTAAGATTTAAAGACTATGACGAAATCAGAGAGGAAAGCAGTGTCCACGTTCCCGAGGCAAACCTTTGCGGTCGGCTCTCTGCGCGGCTCTCGCGGGCCCCTCCCGCCCGTGGCTGGGAGCCGGCTGGAGGGTGGGGAAGCGCTGGGAGCGGGACATCTTGCTGCCGGGCTCTTTCCAGGGAGTGCGTGCTGGCAGGGTTCTCCTGTGGCTCCCAGGGCCGCGGGGCGCGCTGCGGGCCGTGAGCCTGCCCGTGGGGGCCGCGGCGGAGCCGCTCAGAGCGAGGGGGTGCGGAGCATTGCCCTTAGCCGGTGGCTCGGTACCGCTGATTCGGCGTGAGTAAGGAGAGTCGCTTGTCTGCGAGCCGCTGGGCGCCTGGGCCTCCCCAGGTTCATTCACAGCCCGGCTTGCCCCTCCGTTAGGCGGTGCGCGGCGGTGCCTATTCTGTGTGCGCGCGGCTGCGATTCCAGCCTGTTTCTCTCTGCCTCCGTCAGCACACAGAAATCTTTGTCCATGTTCTGCCCTCCACACACAAGTTTCCAGAACCAGGGTTATTAGGCCAGAGGTCATGGACTTCCTTGGTAGCGGCTGAAGCGGGAAGCCGTGCTAGCAGGGCCTCCCGCTGTGTACGTTACAGAGATTTCTTTCATTTAGAATTTATATTTTACGATTAGATACTGCATCTACTATTTACGTTTGGTCTATCCACCTATCTATCTATCCACCTATCTACCTATCCACCTATCTACCTATCCACCTATCTACCTATCCACCTATCTACCTATCCACCTATCTACCTATCCACCTATCTACCTATCCACCTATCTACCTATCCACCTATCTACCTATCCACCTATCTACCTATCCACCTATCTACC